GTTAGAGTTGTCCATTGTGGTAACTAGGCTCCATGTGTATTGCACCAGCCCCATTCTGTTGGGTTGGGGAGATCAGCTGTCAGCGACATATCTAAAACACTGTTGCACAAACAGTGCGAAAATAAGAAAATTCGGGACAGAAAAACTCCAATCTCAACGACTTGGATTTCTTTGGCGTCATTCTTACGCCATGTGACTAAGGGGGAAGTGGTTGTAAACCCCTTGAGGTTAAGTCAACACTGCAATCACGGCGGTGGATTCAAGAGGCGATTTGTGTGCCCCTTCAGCAGTATGTGAGAAGGAAGCTAGCAAGGCAATTTACCTGAACGATCAATTTGTGTCAGAAGATTAAACTTCTCATTGATAACTGGGTTCCCCCTCAGTGTAGTTGTATCCTGGCAGTAAAGGATTATTGTTAGTATTTATAACGAGGGGATTTGATACTTTGTTGGAGGAGTGTCTGACTCAGTGGAGAGTGCTTTGAAGTGTTACGCTTTATATTGTTGCAGGATCCGCTGATTTTGTGTTTAAATTCAGGATTTGCCCTAATAATTATGTTTGGTTTGTCATCAACGTCTCCGCACCCGCGCCCACGCCCGTACCCTCACCTTCACTCGCGTCCTCATACTGACCCACATCCTCATCCTCACCCGCTCCCTTACCCTCACCCTCACCCTCACCCGCTCCCTTACCCTCACACTCACCTACACCTTCACCCTCACCCTCACCCGCTACCTTACACTCATCCACACCTTCACCCTCATCCGCTCCCTGACCCTCACACTCACCCGAACCTTCACCCTCACCTGCTCCCTTACCCTCACACTCATCCACACCTTCACCCTCACCCGCTCCCTTACCCTCACACGCATCCACACCTTCACCCTCACCCGCTCCCTTACCCTCACCCACACCTTCACCCTCACCCTCACCCGCTACCTCACACTCATCCACACCTTCACCCTCACCCGCTCCCTTACCCTCACACTCACCCTCACCCGCTCCCTTACCCTCACACTTACCCACACCTTCACCCTCACCCTCACCCGTTACCTCACATTCACCCACACCTTCACCCTCACCCACTCCCTTACCCTCACACTCACCCGAACCTTCACCCTCACCTGCTCCCTTACCCACACACTCATCCACACCTTCACCCTCACCCGCTCCCTTACCCTCACACTCATCCACACCTTCACCCTCACCCGCTCCCTTACCCTCACACTCTTCCACACCTTCACCCTCACCCGCTCCCTTACCCGCACCCTCACCCACACCCTCACCCGCGCCCTTACCGACACTCTCACACTCACCCACACCCTAACCCTCACCCACACCCTCTCCCTCACCTGCTCCCGCATCCACATCCGCACCCGTACTCCAAAGTGGTAAAAGTCTACTCGTGCATTATTTTGGGTTTACCTCTACCCCCAAGCAATCACCCCTTAAGGACTGAAATGGTGTTCAAAGCGGCATTAACCCTATCCACTTATGTAGTGAGTGTGGAGATGAGGTACCCCGAAGATGAAGATGATTTGGAGGCAGTGACGTTGACGACATTGACGACTATCATAATTACAATACCGTCGACGTTGACGTCAACACTGATGAAACAATCACAAATGTCCTCCAAACAATCCTCACAGACCTGCAAGGGATTCCAAGACACTACGAGACAAAGTAAAAGCCCTGAAGATCAACTGACAATCATTCCCATCAATGATAAATGACGTGTGTATGATCCGGAATGCTTCTTCAAACACTGATATATTTCTAGCAAAGTGTTATAACCTTAATGTAAAGGTCAATTGTATCATAACGATGGCCGGTACCTTCGCCAATATACGTCTGGGCCGTGTTACAGTGTTAACTAGGTCGGACGATACCGTTCTGAGAGAGATAGCCTGGCATAACTGATGTCGAGATTACGTTACTATGGCAATGTAGTCGATGTTCTCTTCTGTATTTGTTCGTAAATGTGGGTTTTCGATTTTTCATGTTCAACAACCCGTCTCCTAATATCATGTACAATAACCCGTCTCCTAAAATCATGTACAATAACTCGTCTCCTAAAATCATGTACAATATTCCGTCTCCTGATATCATGTACAATATTCCGTCTCCTGATATCATGTACAATATTCCGTCTCCTGATATCATGTATCATAACCCGTCTCCTGATATCATATACAATATCCCGTCTCCTGATATCATATACAATATCCCGTCTCCTGATATCATGTACAATATCCCGTCTCCTGATATCATATACAATATCCCGTCTCCTGATATCATATACAATATCCCGTCTCCTGATATCATGTACAATATCCCGTCTCCTGATATCATATACAATATCCTGTCTGCTGATATCATGTACAATATCCCGTCTCCTGATATCATGTACAATATCCCGTCTCCTGATATCATGTACAATATCCTGTCTGCTGATATCATGTACAATATCCCGTCTCCTGATATCATGTACAATATCCCGTCTCCTGATATCATGTACAATAACCCGTCTCCTGATATCGTGTACAATAACCCGTCTCCTAATATCATGTACAATATCCTGTCTCCTGATATCATGTACAATATCCTGTCTCCTGATATCATGTACAATAACCCGTCTCCTAATATCATGTACAATATCCCGTCTCCTAATATCATGTACAATATCCCGTCTCCTGATATCATGTACAATAACCCGTCTCCTGATATCATGTACAATAACCCGTCTCCTAACACCATGTACAATAACCCGTCTCCTGATATCATGTACAACAACCCGTCTCCTGATATCATGTACAATATTCCGTCTCCTGATATCATGTACAATATCCCGTCTCCTGATATCATGTACAACAACCCGTCTCCTGATATCATATACAATATCCCGTCTCCTGATATCATGTACAATAACCCGTCTCCTGATATCATGTACAATATCCTGTCTCCTGATATCATGTACAATATCCTGTCTCCTGATATCATGTACAATATCCTGTCTCCTGATATCATGTACAATAACCCGTCTCCTAATATCATGTACAATATCCCGTCTCCTAATATCATGTACAATATCCCGTCTCCTGATATCATGTACAATAACCCGTCTCCTGATATCATGTACAATAACCCGTCTCCTAACACCATGTACAATAACCCGTCTCCTGATATCATGTACAACAACCCGTCTCCTGATATCATGTACAATATTCCGTCTCCTGATATCATGTACAATATCCCGTCTCCTGATATCATGTACAATAACCCGTCTCCTGATATCATGTACAATAACCCGTCTCCTAACACCATGTACAATAACCCGTCTCCTGATATCATGTACAACAACCCGTCTCCTGATATCATGTACAATATTCCGTCTCCTGATATCATGTACAATATCCCGTCTCCTGATATCATGTACAATATCCCGTCTCCTGATATCATGTACAATATCCCGTCTCCTGATATCATGTTCAGTACTCCAGTCTGATACCACTGACATCATGAAAACCATTCCACGAATATTTACGTCCTTTGTCAACTCTGGCTTCGATGGACCAATCAGAGACAAGCGATGTAAGGGTCTTAACAAGGCAGTCTCAGGGTTCAAGTGGGGGTTATTGAGATGACAGGGTGATGCAATTTTACCCAACATATTTTTCTGCAAATACCACGAGTTTCTGACCTTGTCCATTGCTTTAAACAGCACATTCCTTAAATTAGCACATGCATACTGCAGTCCGCATCAATTAAGATACCGTGTTTGTGGAAGGGTATATTACAGTGGATAATACCAACCGTACGTTGTATTTATCGAGATGACAACATGTATATAATTAGCGTGAAATCAAGTCGATATCAAACGAGTCACACTCTTTCTGATTTAATGGCTTGGGCAACCCGATTTGCTGTTCAGAGTTGCGTCCCTTACACTAGCTAGACTCAGCATTCACCTGATGAAGTTGCAAGAAGTTGCTCTGAAACGTCGTGACAAAGAATAACAGAAGTTGCTTTCCGTAAAACGTGTCAAGTATTCATGTTCTCACAACTTCTTAATGTCTATCAAAGACTACACTCGCCAGAGAGTATTATCCTGGTTCGTCCCGATTATATGTCAAGGTCTGTCAGGGGGCACGTGTGGCGAAAGCCCGAAGTGATGCAGATCTCAGACGTTTACCACTTCGGTGAAACCCACGAGCACGGGTATGGTGATGACAAACCTAGAAACATAATCGGGGCGAACCGGGATTCGAACCCACAATCATAGGTTTCTGGCGTGCCCAAGGGACGCAACTCTGCGTATTTAAAACGAATTTGCCTGTATTGGTTTACAAGGATAATATATTATACAGAAGGAAAATGGAATTCTCTCTGTGTTGATTCTTGGTAACAACAGGTCCTCGGTATGCCAGACTTGTCCGATCAGCTTTCGGGGGAGGATCCGGTGGTCAGGACATCTGGTATGATCACTATTTGACAGTGATTCATAAACACAAGGTCATGATAAGCGGTCGGGTAGCCTAGTGGTTAAAGCGTTCGCTCGTCACGCCGAAGACCCGGGTTCGATTCCCGACAAGCCCATTTCTGGTGTCCCCCGCCGTGATATTGCTGGAATATTGCTAAAAGCGGCGTAAAACCATACTCACTCACTCACTCATGTGGAGACCGCCTCTGTGGTCTAGTGGTAGAGCGACAGCCCGTCGTTTAGTCTCTCACTTTCAAGATGTCTTCGAATAAGAAATTTTGGCTGACATTTAGCGCAATTTCCAAATTCGGAAACATTTAACTTGGCCAAAACGGGTACCCCTTTTATGAATTGTCAATTGTTCATGTTCTAACGTGGGTATTTGTTAATGTATAGGAAAGTTTAAGTTTCATGATATGTACATAAACATACGTGTACATGAATGTTGTGCATGTATTTGCACTTGTGTTTTGTACAATGTACTTGAGAAAACCAATTCTTATATTTTTTGGTTTTGCAGCAAGGCAGTAGCTCGGATACAGTTCTGCTCAAGAGATCTTTGAGACAAGCTTACGAGGACCAATTGGCTATGTTACAAGAGGCAGAGGAAAACCTTACTCAACAAATAGCAGCTCTACAACACCAGAGGCAGGAGATCACACAAAGGAAGAGGAGTCACTATATGTGTCTGGTCAACCTCATCACGTGTTACAGGAAACGGAAGTGAACATACCGGAAGTGACGTCCCGGAAGTGGAAAGGGTGTCGCCTGTGACATAACAAATCTGCCCAATTGTAACATGTGTTTGTAGGAGAGGAGTGCCTGGAGTTCCAGTTTCTTAGTAATGCCATAATAGAGATCGAAATAAATTAAAACTGTAATTCTGGTCGTGGATCATTTAAACAAAGAGGATTGCTGGATGTTGTTTAACCTTTCTACCATCAAACTTCTACCTGAAACCGTTCTGGTCTGAACATGCATGAAATTAAGTCTCACTGTTCAACGTGTTATCAATTTATGAAAGACAATGTAAAGACTGAACAAATAAATTGTATTTATTGTTCACATTTCCCTTGTATATTATGTGGACCCGCTGTTAACACACATCATCAATCAGAGAGTTAAAGTCACAATGCACTGCCCCAAGCGTCTTTGAGGCGGGGATGATGACGTCAGTAACACGTGACCACCGACCAATAGCACTGCCGCTGTCTTTTTCTTGGTTGGGGAACTTCTAGGCTTTTCTGTGCGTTTCGGGTGGGCGTTTCGTCAATGCGTAGTAAAAATCGAAGAAGGTTACTCGGTAGTCGAACGGCGGCTTGTCTGTTCTCGGTCTCTGGAACCTGAAACATTTGATTTGAAACGCAAAATGAAAATTCAATTGAAAATAATAAAATACAAATTATCAATGAAAGAAAATAACCAGTCTAGATTATCAGCTGAAAAGATTCCATTTGGCGTACATGACAAAATAGCTGTGTCACAATTATATGAATGGACCACTGAAAATCAGTGATGACAAAAAGTAAACTTTGGATATTACGAAATCGGATACGGTGAAAAACCATTCACACGAAATCTCTCAACTCGACGTATATTGTGACAGTATGGTCCTCCACTCGATAAGTCCTGGCAAATTAATATTTGTCTTGAATATGTCGATATACTTTAGTTAGCATGGTTTCGCTGTGGAAGTACCGATATAACGAAATCAGTCAAAATCACCGATCACCTCTAATCTAATTTAGATTTAACGAACTGCTTTTACGACAATCATGGTATTCGCTATAGCCGTAGTGAAGTCAAATGTACATGCTTTCAGAATTGGTGAACAAAGTTTGATACAGACAGGCAGACCAGGAAATAAACCCCATTGAAACGAACAATACCTTTAAATGCGGGGATGGATTTGATTAAGGTGATGGTTGCCTAACCATTGATGGAATCTGAGTGACTAAGTGAGTGAGTGAGTTGGGGGTGTGGTGTGTGTGTGTGTGTGTGTGTGTGTGTATGTGTGTGTGTGTGTGTGTGTGTGTGTGTGTGTGTGTGTGTGTGTGTGTGTGTGTGTTGGGTGTTTGTTGTTTTAGGCCGCACTCAGCAACATTCCAGCTATATGACGGCTGTCTGTAAAAAAAGTGAGTCTGGATCAGGCAATCGAGTGATTGACATCATGAGTATCCACGAAATTGGGATATGATGACGTGCATCAACCAAGTCAGCGAGCCTGACCACCCGATTCCGTAAGTCGCCTTTTGCGACAAGCAAGGGTTGCTGAGGACCAATTCTAACCCGGATACTTCAGAACTGTTGCATAACCAATCAAACGACACATTTCATCTTCAATACCCTCCCGTTTACGCGGACGGTTCCGTTTCCATTAAAATGTCTTGATTAACGAGGTTCAGACAAACGAGGTTTCACTGTAGATAGGGGTGTTCATAAGCAGCCGGTCGTTGGCTATTCAGGATGGGGTGCCCTGGGAATATTTTGAAAAAAATGTTATATGTTGAAAGTTCCAAAACACAGATAAAAAACCGTCTTGAAGCACTCAGTGAAATATAATCTGTCTCAGGAGTTCCCCCACCCCTCCTACCCATCCCATAGAATATTAAATGGTCAGCCTCTAACATCCAATCCCCCTGGATGGGCTTTTTTCCGATTAACAGGGTCGGTACTACTCCCTAAAATATGGGATTTCCGGACTGATGGGGTTAGGGTCGTCAAAGGGCAAGTATCTTAGATGCATCACATACAGTAAACTACGGTTATAACGAACTCAAAGGGACTACTAATTTTAGTTCGTTATAAGCGTGTTCGTTATAAACGTAGTTTACTGTTATGTTGCGAGACGTTCCAGGCAAGTTTTACGTTTTAAAACGTAAGATGTACCTTGGGTAGGTTCATGGGTATTTGTTGTAGGCAGGAGTCAATAGTACACATTCAAAAAATAGCTATCTACGAATGTCTAATGGTGCCACTTTGGAAGCATTATTTTTAAATTTTTTTAGAAATGTCCCTTTAATACAATGTTGTTGTTTTTTCTCGAAATGTCAAGTATTTTCTCGTTACTTCGATTATATTTTCGTACTTTCGATTTTTTTCTCGTTATTTCAACTATTTTCTCGCTGCTCCGATTTATTCTCGTTGCTTCAAGAAGGGGCAGTTGGGTAGCCTAGTGGTTAAGCTTTCGCTCGTCACGCCAAAGACCCAGGTTCGATTCCTCACATGGGTACAATGTGTGAAGCCCATTTCTGGTGGCCGCCACCGTGATATTGCTGGAATATTGCTAAAAGCGGCGTAAAACAATACTCACTCACTCAATCAATCAATCAATCATTTTCTCGAAGTTTCTATTTTTTTCTCGTTATTTCAATTATTTCCTCGTTGCTTCATGTTTTCTCTCGTTATTTCTAATATTTTCTCGTCATTGCAAATTTATCTAAAATTCTCGGAGTTCCGAATATTTTCTCGTTATTTCAATTATTTTCTCGTAATTTCGAAACTTTGAAATAAACTTGAAATTACGAGAAAATAATTAAAATAACAAATATATTTCGAAATTTCGAGCTTATGAAAATATTTGAAAATACGAGAAAATAATAGTAACAAGAAAAAAACCTTGAAATAACGAGAAAAACTCGAAGTAACGAGAAAGAAGTCGAAATTTCGAGAAAATAATTTAGATAACGAGAAATTTCGATTTAGGTGACACATTAGTATGATTAGTATCAACTATGAAGTGTGTGTCGCTTCAGTGAATATTGGCACTGCATTCGCTGAAGTTGAGTGATGGTTTTAGGAACTCATTAATGATGAATGCGTCAGAAATCCACGAGATAAACACGATAAAAAAATCTTCATGAATAAAATGGATTAAACTTAACATGCTGTGGCAGAATTTCTGCAATGTTACACACAGACAGACAGACAGATAAATTTTGTATACTTGTCCATGATGCCAATAGCACAATGCCATTTTGTTGTACGTAAACTTGTCGTGTAGCACCATTTGAATACTGAATCTACACAGATACACTTTGTGAATTTTATTAATACATTTCAGACACACAACGGGTGAATGAATCGCTGTTGGGGATTTTACGAACCTTCTTACAATAATAATAAAGGGGGACAACTCGCACAACTCCAACAAAAATCCCGATCAGAATATTTTCATCATTCGCAAAGGAATCGAGTCAATGTGCTTACTGATATTAACTGGGTATAGAAATACACCTACTGGCAAGAGAATAAACAAATAATTTCTTTCAAACAGTAATCCAATATTTGGTCGTTCACACATTCAATCGTGTTCACTTCTTGATATTCATTATCTAAAACAATGGTAGTCACGTTAGTGTCCACATGTTCTAAAATAATAAGAATATTAACGCAATATAAGTATTACTTTTTAGTGAATTACTGAATATGAACTGATTTTATATAAAAAGTTCATTGATCATCTTGTATTGTTCCGCGCTTGCATTTTATATAATTTATAAAAGGTCCTTTGAAGATTCCGGGTCTTCAGTAACCCATGCCTGTCGTAAGAGGCGACTAACGGGATCGGGTGGTCAGGCTCGCTGACTTGGTTCATGCATGTCATCGATACCAATTGCGTAGATCGCTGCTCATGGTGTCAATCACTGGATTGGTTTCGATTATTTACAGACCGCCGTCACATGGCTAGAATATTGCTGAGAGCGGCGTAAAACAACAAACAAACGTTTCATGGCGATGCGGGAAATGGACTCGAAAGAAGGATTTTAGAAGAGCTTCCTTTACCGTCAATATTTCATTATCTCGCAGCTTTGGAAGATGGAGATATGAATGTGTGGCAGTTGAATGGTAACAGGTCGAGTTCTGCTGAATGTCCTCATCACGACCGATAAAAAAGTACGCTCCAAGGAGGACACTTGTTACATGTCCAATTGAAGCATTAAAAAAATTAACACTGGTCCGGATTTCAGCTTGTGTGCGAGTTGGTTTTAATCCTGGTTTGAACGGAAGCTCAGTTCCATCACGGCGTCAGTATTCTTTTGGAGTGAGTGAGTCAGGTTTAACGCCGCTTTTAACAGTATTCCAGTTATATCACGGCGTGTCAGCTTAATGTTGGAGGAAAGCCCGAATCGAAGTGATGCAGGTCTCAGACGTTTACCACTTCGGTGAAACCCACGAGCACGGGTATGGTGCTGACAAACCTAGAAACATAATCGGGGCGGACCGGGATTCGAACCCACGATTATAGGTTTCTGGCGTGCCCAAGGGACGCAACTGTGCATGGTGAATTGCGGCGCCTGAGACGACTGGGCCACCCGTGCCTCTCTATTGTGTTGGGGGAAGAAATCGGTAAACACATGAATGAAAGTAACAGTGTTGCTGACAAATCAAAACTGTTAAACGAGGCGAACCCATGATTGGATTCTTGGCAACCTTGCAAATCGAAATGTGAGTGAGTGAGTGAGTGAGTGAGTGAGTGAGACGATACATGATATATGGCATCGCACTGTAAATTATTTGAATCTGGACCAGACAAACCTATGATTGATATTATGTGCAACTATCCACGTTGGCACGCCACCAAAGCTGACCAGTCACCTTTTACGACCAGTACCAGATGCCGGGGATCAATTGTAACCCAGAGTCCCGAAGTGACGGACGTCACGTGAATATGCTTGAATTATGTCTGAGATGAGTAGTATTTTTATATTTGTTCCTGAAATTAGCTGATGAAATATGATCAGGAGCCTGTAGAATAGTTTGAAATATTTACAATATTGGTATTCTATTTTTTATTGTACGTTTCTTTCATAAAGCACGTTATTATCGTTATCACAGCTACCTCTTAATAACGAGGGACGGTCGGGTAGCCTAGTGATTGAAGCGTTCACTCGTCACGCCGAAGACCAGGGTTCGATTCCGGACATGGGTACAATGTGTGAAGCCCATTTCTGGTGATATTGCTGGAATATTGCTAAAAGCGGCGTAAAACCATACTCACTCACTCTTCTCTCTCTTGAACGTGCGTCAGAGGCCATATTAGATTAAGGAGAAGCCTTCCAATTTTGCCGCTTCGATATTTGTGTGTTAATTAATGCATCACCCATTCAGACGAGATGTGTCCTGACAGAAACTGTGTAAATATTGTTCAGTGACGACACGACCAGTGGGGATTCCGGTCAGAATTGGTCCCCAGGAATTATTTTTTGTTGAAAGTGGCAACTCATAGTTCAGGGTAAAGGGGGCGGGTTCAGTGGTTTAGTTTATTGCATATAATCATACCCATATTGCATATCATCATAAGATCAATCACTGGATTGTCCGGTTCAGACTCAATTATTAA